GGAGCTGCCACAGAGAAGGCCCTCCCCCGGGTAATAGCCAGATGGCATTGGCTGTTAGATGGCACCTGGAGGAGGCCGACCCTGTGAGATCTAATGGGTCTGTGGGAGGTAATTGGTAGCAGGCGGTCTCTCAAATACAAAGTCCGATGCGCAAAGCCCAGAGTGACTCTACGTGGAACGTGTTAAGATGTAGCCCGCCCCTCTTCAGGAGGGAGCAGAGAGCAGAGCTGGCTGCTGCAGCTAGTCAACCTTTTTTATTAGAACATGACCCGCAGAGGGAATTGAGGGGGGGGAAGAGGGAAGAGGAGGGGGTGGGAGAGAAGGAAGAGCCTTAACATCCTTTAGAAAAGCAAAAAAAAGAGGGGTGGGCTTGGGGAGGAGCTACAATGCAAATGCCTACAGCCAGGCCACTTGCAAGCCGAGGCGGGAGGCGGGTGGGGGTGTCTCCAAGCTGCTATGCGGGAAAGAGCGGAGCGTTTCCTGCGGCTGCCCTTCGCTTCGCCGTCCCCTCTTACAGCTTCTTGGCGCAGTTGGGGCAGTAGACCTGCTCCAGGTGGAAGACGAAAGGCTTGTTGGCCAAAGGGATGGAGCACTTCTTGCAGTTGAAGCAATACTCATGCCAGGAGTGGCCCTCGTGGCTCACCACGTTGGTGCCTTTCCCAAAGCCTAGAGAGGACAGAGAGAGCGTCGCAACGGTTAAGGAAGCCGTTGCTCCTCCCGGGCAAAGGGAGACCGAGGAGGAGCCTGCCCACCCCGTGGTTCACCTGGAACCCTTCGGCTGGTCCTCCGTGGCCTACCTGTAATGGGGTTCTTGCAACCGTTGCATTTCTTAGCCACGAAAGACTTGTAGCAATCCACGCAGTAGAACAGGTCTTCCACCGCGGTGAAGCGTTGTCCGCCCAGCTTCTTGGTGCAAGTAGCACACACGAAGCACTCGGCATGGTAAGGCTGGTCTTGGTAGGAGACACCTCCAGAAGTGATGGCCTTAAAAAGCAATCAGACAGAGGACCATTAGTGTGGAGTTCGGGGAGTGGAATAAATGTGTTAGCATCGAGCCCAGAATTCACAATGAGAATGTATCTGCTGGATGAAACTCCGCACTGGTGACAGGAAGAGCATCTGGCCAGTAAACAGCTCCATTCAGTTGCCCAGATTCCACCCCGCAAGGGGTCATTCAAAGAAGAAGATGATGATGATCATTGAGGCCAGAATTCCCCAGCCATCCATGAATCATAGAGTTGGGAGGGACCAGAAGGGTCACCAGTGTTTCTCAACCTTGGCAACTTTAAGACTTGTGGACTTCAAGTCCCAGAATTCCCCAGCCAGCCATGAATCATAGAGTTGGAAGGGACCAGAAGGGTCACCACTGTTTCTCAACCTTGGAAACTTTAAGAATTGTGGACTTCAAGTCCCAGAATTCCCCAGCCAGCCATGGATGATAGAGTTGGAAGGGACCAGAAGGGTCACCAGTGTTTCTCAACCTTGGCAACTTTAAGACTTGTGGACTTCAAGTCCCAGAATTCCCCAGCCATCCATGAATCATAGAGTTGGAAGGGACCAGAAGGGTCACCAGTGTTTCTCAATCTTGGCAACTTTAAGACTTGTGGACTTCAAGTCCCAGAATTCCCCAGCCATCCATGGATGATAGAGTTGGAAGGGACCAGAAGGGTCACCACTGTTTCTAAACCTTAGCAACTTTAAGACTTGTGGACTTCAAGTCCCAGAATTCCCCAGCCAGCCATGGATGATAGAGTTGGAAGGGACCAGAAGGGTCACCACTGTTTCTAAACCTTAGCAACTTTAAGACTTGTGGACTTCAAGTCCCAGAATTCCCCAGCCAGCCATGGATGATAGAGTTG